ATATGAAGTAATAATAAATGCCTTCACACAATCTCGCAGCCTCTATTCTGAGGTCTTCCGAAACTTTAGTGGCCGGCGTCGAACGACAGGCATTGCGATTAGTCAGCGCCTACCCTTACATTGTCCCACATCAAACACTAGGGGCTGGTGCCGATCGATACACGTCTACGGCTGCTTCCAGTCATAGCACTAGAGAGCCACTGCAATGGCAGCGTGTCGCCACGCGCGGTCGCGAAGTCTGAACGCTGCCTAGTAAAATTCAGGTATCGCAGGTACCTGCTGCAAGGCGATTTCTTCTGTAGTTTTCTCATTCAGAGGCCGAACTCGTGGTACTCCCTCACGAACAATGCCAACCATGTCAAGCAATTCTTCTTCCCATATCTCACAAGTAGTAGGAATTCCTTCCATCTCCCACCTGAAGTACGAAGATCGAATACGACTCCCGTGAATTGAGGCGTTACCACAGATTAAAACAACTCACTTCTTCGTTGCAGTAACGTGAATCGTACGCAGTTCCTCATTATCAACAAGGCAAGCCCTTTGAGCGTAGATGTTCTCATTGGCAAAGGGTAAGAAGTGTTCTGAAATGAGCAAATATTCTGCATGAACTCATGTAATGCGAATTCAGCGCTCGAGAAAAGAGGTTATTTTATCCACACATTCTAAGGAGCAGCATTGTGTCGAATTAATAAATAAACGAAACCAATCCGAAATCATAAATCATAAAATCCCACATTTTAAAGGTGGGCACTGAAGGGGAGACACTATAAATCGACAACTGGTATAGATCGATATGTCTAGCACGAAACAGCATTGCGCCCCCGAGTAGGGCGTCGCTGCATGGCGCCTTTTTCAGCCAAGGGCTTTTATAGCTCCTAACCAAGGTTCAACATGCCCGAATTACGTGACATCTTGAACTTTTGTGCATGGTCCTGTTACGAAACCCTGTGACGCAGACGGATAGAGGGCAGCGGCTGCCAAAGCATCGAAACGTGCAAAAAACGTATGGCGAGCCAGGAAACGGGATTTTTCAAGGGGAGGGGATCCGGGGTAGGTGAGTACTTACAGTCGGTTAACAAAATGGCGACAAGGCGCCTTTTCGCGTGTCTGCCGCGTGGGACAAAGCAGTTTTTCCCTATTTTCGAAGAATGCGCATAAATGCTAGGGCGTTTACACCAAAAAATTGAAGAATGGTCAGAATTCATTGCAGAAGCTAGTAAGGCTTCGCTATTCTTGTTTACTTTCAAGATAAACCCTGAAATTTCATGGAATACTCCCGCCTCATTCACGTGGAGCGTGGGAACAAGGTCGCAAAAAGGAATATTTTCGCGCCAGAGGTGGTAAATTGGATTCGATTCAGATCTGCTATTGTTGAAAGTTACCTTATCACATTAGCTATCTGCATGTGGAGCTTCAGTTCTATATATCCAAAAATTATCTTTTTTCCCTAGGAAATCACTTTTGTTTGTCTCCTCGGTAAAATACTCTCAATGACACAACTGCACGGTTTACAGCTACTGTATATTCTACAATGCCTTCATGGACAATATGCAGCTGTTGAAAATTTGAAACGTATTCAAATTGGTTTTTTACCCATCCCAGCATGGGACGCAATGTCGCCAACGTGTTAAAAGCTGGAGTGAGCGAAGTCACAACGGCTACAGAGTCGGCGTCTTGGGACAGCTATCTTTTTTTTTCTCTGTTGTCTCGTTCTCGGGGTCAGACACAGAACAGGAATTAGCACGCCGGCCTCAGGACACGTGCGAGAGAGTAGCGCTCCACCCCTCCCGCTCTCAAGAACAGTCTCCCAGCGGTACAGCGGGTGGAACGGATTGGACATCAACAAACATGATTTCTTTTGGCATTTCGGCATGGTGGGACCGCGAAAAACATTGGGGGGGGGGGTGAAGCGAACTTCATTTGGAACATGCCCTAGCGAATAGCAATCAAACGGTATTGTTCAGAAAATCGTGAAGTGTAGTGTAGTGAATGCTTGGTCTGAAATGAAGCGTGGGAAATCATCGCGGTAACTCTCCATATTCAATATGAGCAGCATATAGGTCCTCATTTTGGCATCAATGAAACGCTTCCATCTGGGAAGAGGACCGAACTTCCAACAAAATACTCAAAGAGAAGCAGAAAAGAGAATGTGGGAGGCAGGGAGGGAGGAGGGATGGAGGAAGGAAGGAAGGCAGGCGGAGAGAGAGCAGAGGAGATGAGAGAGAGAGAGAGACGAGATGAGAGAGAGAGAGAGAGGAAGAGAGTTGCCTACTCCTGACAGACTTTCTTTTCATCTCCTAGGCGAATCTCGATGAGCAGGTTGCTGATCTTCTATGGAGAAAAAACATACAGAAGAAAACAGCTCACGTCTCAAATAATCAATTATATCAGCACTGCTTTCGCCTTCCATTTGCCGTTGTGCAATTATCGATTTGATGATTGGTGGAAGTCGCATTCGAATGTCATGACCATAGTGATCTCCACACATCTCGATGGATACACGGCTAGAAAAGCCAACATAGGAGTTAAATAAAATTATGATGAAGAAAACTACTGCTAACGATAAGCAGCGCAAAGGAATGGACTATCAGAAGCTCTATAGGTAAAGTCCACAGTCCCTATACAATTCGAACAAGTCTAACAATCTTCTTGTTCCCACACACTCTTACATTACCTCTCTCCGAACAAAAGATGTCAGTTGGTGGAATTATAAGGAAAAGGAGGGGAAAAAGATGTTCCTCCTTAATAAGTCGCTTGAGTAACTTTTTCTACATACAGGACCCCTCCAAAGCGTTACCTATAACCGAGCAGCAACCACTCGTGAACAGAGAGCCTTAACAAAGGTAGTCCTCCATGAAATGGCCATCCGTAATGGAGATGAAAAAGGTCACAGGTACAAAACTCATTTTTGTATGGTGTAGGAATAAAAACCCGGAAGATTTTCGTGTTTTCTTTCCATTTCGGCAGATGGGAAAGAGATGAGGACAGAAATACAGTCACTTCGCTGCAGACGAAGGGGAGTGCATGGGGATGAGTTTTGCGTGATGCCAGTGCGTTCTCCACCAGCTGCTGAAGTACACTCCTAGTACTCGTTTTCTACCAGTTGTCGCCGCCCTCGTTTAACAACTGGCAGAGAACGGGTTCGCACCGCGCCAAACACGTACTGCCTGACACGCCCCTTCATCCGCAGCGACCAGAGTATAAGTGCGAGGTTATCATTTGAATACAAACGCGCTTACCCATCAGCATGTTGAGTTCCGTGGATGTACGCAGTGCAAGTGTGACCCATACGATAAGGACCTACGCGATCACGGTCGCTACCTGTGGAGCTATTTGAGTTCACGAATCCACTCCTAAGAAAGTCGCGATAAGTTTGAAATAGAAATTTTTAGAAGTCATCTTCGAAATCACCTCACCTGTTGCAAGCCATGAAGATGCCTTTTCCACGTTGACGTCGCTTCGAGCCTGACTTATGTCGAAAATGTGCGCCTCCTTTAAGCTCTAGCCAACGAACGAAACGCTGGAAGCGCACTTATATATGGAAACCCGTTGAAACTAAAAACTCCACTTGAAACCCACCTTGAACTCGTCCATGTTAGCAAACGTCATTTCGTGAATTTGAGGATGCACATCGTGCTCAATGCTTAAATGTTCGTGGAAAGCTGTCCGAGTAACGAATTCCATGAAGCACACACCGCAACAGTAGTACCTCTTCTTAGTTGTATCACCAAAACCTTCATCTTTCGAATGTCCGGCACGGCACTGTAATGCCCAAGTGTAATCACTGTGAGAAGGTGCACGAATACACTGTAGATCGAGAGTTGAGGGAAACGTAGCACAACCTAGTTGAAGCCGTAAAAATTGAAGGCGCAGTTCGGCTTGGGAAGGCATTTCGCACTTTCGCTGCTTTTCATTGGTTTACAAAAATTGACAAATAGTTTATGCAAATTTTGACAGGTATCGCTGCACAACTTCACAATATCTCACAAATCTCTGTGGTTCGACACAAGAATGGGAAGCAGCGAAAGTGCAAAATGACCCCCTCCCCCGTGTATACTCCTTATTCCTGAGACGGGGTGGGCGTGGCATTTGAACAGGGCACAGAACTTACTCATGGGCTATTTCACACAGAACTTACTCATGGGCTATTTCAATGTGAGACAACCGTCATCTTGTTCTTTGTTGGACAGAGACATAACCACATTTCGGTCAGTGAAAATCTCCAAAATCTCCAAAAGCGTAGCCACCACAACGTTTACTTGAAGTACGCAGCCACGCCTACCTCACATCAGGGATTTCGAGTGTACGAACTGTGCCCATATGCTGATATGATGAACGTTGCAGTCCGTGGTCCGAAAGCTATTTCAAGAATGCTGGGTTATGGGCAAAAGCTTTGACCTCAGCTGGGCTTTTGTCCATAACTTAGCAATCTTGCAATAATTGAAGGAATTCCAAAAAGTTCTACCGTGCAATCAAAATGCGAAATGGGTTCGAATGTAGTTGAATAAAGTAATAATGAAAATGATTACGCCATTAGTCCGATGATAATCTATCGTTCTTGGAGCGACCATCTTTCCACATCCATATGGGCATCTGTTTCTAACGCCGGCTGTTCGATGTTGAAGTGGTACATTATCACCAAGAACCACTTGTTCCCGCTGAAAATGGCTGTTTTGACTACAGCACAAAAACGAGAAAGCGAGTTTAAAAAGAAATATAAGTGCTGTTCGGCGACAGCGGGAGGCAATGTGCACTTTCGCTCCTTCTCACGTCGTGTTCTAACTACAAGGGTTTCCACAAGCTTTGACTTTCATCACTTTATAGCTTCACCAGACTTCACAAGTCGTCACTTGAAGGCTCGACACGTCAGTGGGAAATAGCCAAAGTTTAAATTCCCCCTCCCTCACCAACTACGCCGAAATATGGGATTTAGGATGTATTTTCGATGGCTCGACAATCGTGCAATCGAATTTCTGCTGCGACAACAAGCCCTACTGTTGCGAATCGGGCAAGGGTAACCGAGAACTAGACCGCCTTCTTCGACCGCTTGGGCTTAACATGTCTGTGCATTCGCGCTTTTTCAGTTAAGGGCGGTTTCTTGCGCAAAGTCGAGACTACTGCAAAACGAAAACTCTTCCTTGCGCAAGGAATGGAATGATTCTCGCTGGGTGGTCACGAGGATTTCACCACGGAATGAAAAAGACTTCACTGGAACAGCGCTCTTGCTATAACAGCGACAAGATTAGGAGTAGTTCTACAGTTAATCCACCGTGACAAAGTGGTTTACAACAACAACATAACGGATCGACTTGGGGGATGGGCATTCTGCGAGACTCGTGAAATCTAGTAAAGCCATGAAGTGCTACAGCCAAAGTTTGTAAACACTATGTGACAGTCTTTATATAGAATACATGTCAACGCTACTAAAGCAATGAACACGATGATGAGAACTAGGCAAAGTGCTCCTCCAGCCGAACGGTGCCCAGAACCCAAAATGACCCTCGAGCTTGCTCTTAAAGGGTACGTTGTACGTTGAAAAATCCTCTACCAGATAAAGGAAGTGCAGTCGTTTTCGGCTTGCAGAAGCTTTTAGTTGATTCATCCCATTTCAAGGGCCATAAAACTATTAAACCCCTGGCCTGTGGCGTTGCGGTTTATTTCTGACAGCTGTCGTCATCTATTTCGTCTATTTCTCTACGAGTATACACTCACCGAGTACTGAGGTGGGGGCGGAAGAGGTTTAGTAAAAGGGAATTTCCCGAGCCCTGTTCGGATCATTAAGATAGAATGAGTAAGTCAAGAAACGTGAAATGATGAAAACAAGGCCTATTGCAGTAGTTTTCCCAAAAGGTAAAGGGCATAGAACCTGCTTGATTGCTTCGCGGTTAGAGAAAACCTATCTTCGGGAGTAATACGAACGAATGGACGGTAATAATATGTTTATGTGACGAAAAAAATGGCCTTCCAAGCCAAAAATACCAACGGAAGTTCTAACGATCTTTAAATACTCAAATAAAATAGTAACAGGAATAAACTAACCTTAACATTGACCAAATCGTAACCTCCAACGTCAACCTCCTCGATTGCACCAATATCCTCTAACTGCCGTGCAGCCATTGCGTTCTTTGGCTATGCGGCTCGTTTCAATTTTCATGAAAACTGCGCCCTGACGGCGTGACCTGCGCATTTTCGCGGAACTCGTCCATTTTGCCCACCCACCGACGCCGCGGCTGCCTTTAAACGGCCCTTCAAACTGTCCTCCCAAAGAGTTCATGATGGTAAGCAGAGGCAAAAGAATGAAAAGGGTGGTGCGTCCAGCACAGGAGTTATTCACGATACACCAAATATTCTGACTTTCAAATCATCAGCACCCGGAACTTCTTTGATTCATTGAAAGTCGCGAAAATCTAAGATATAAATGACCTGGATTTTTTAGAGTTCAAATTTCCAGAGGTCATTTTCCTTCATAACACCTAAACCTCAAATCTTTCATTATGTACTAACTGTTTTCTTAGACTTGACTAGCAGAGTAAATAGACCACGTCCTCCTCCTGGGAGCAATTTTTGCAGAATACGACAGGGCACATCGTTGTTGGGGAATCCCCAAGAGGGGCGTATTTGGCCGCCAGGAGAGGGGGGGTCGTATTTGGGCTGAGAAAAATTTATTTTGATAGTTGATTTTTCTCGCTTCACGGACGTTGTAAAAGGGGGGTCGTACTTGCTCATTGTTGGGAGGGGGAGGGGGTCGTATTTACTTTCTGGCCTTTCTAGGAGTGGTGGTTGACTCTTGAGCTCTTGTGATTTTCCTGTTTCATGCGTACTATGTATATACCCCCGCTTGACAGCGAATCATTTTGGAAAAAATAGGAAAGTTTTCAGAAATTTTGGAAAAGTGGCAGGAAGTTGGGGAAAATCTGAGATTTGGTAGAAGGGGGGGGGGGGTCGTATTGTCTCGCGGCTTTTCCTGTTTCACATGTGCTATTTACCCCCACCCCCACCCCACCACCCCTCCCTTTCTGGCCTTTCTCGGATCGAGCTCGACGGCTCAATTCGATGCGGAGGGAAAGAAAGGGAGGGGGGGGGTCGAACGGACTCGACTAAAATCCCCAACCAATGATGTGCCCAGGAATACGAGCCCCTCTGAATTGAATCCTCTAGTAAGACCTCCCTTCCCATCCCGCCTCCACGTTGTACCTGCCGCCAAAGACTCCCAGAAACTTCAAAAACGCATTTTCCCCAAAATCTGCCATGGTAGTGGGGTTGGGGGAGAGGGGAAGGGTGCCCAAGATTCTCTGGAATTGTTATTTTACAAAAAGGATAACTCCGGAAAGCGAAAATCTTACGGTATTCGAAGCTGTTTACATCTAATCTACGCATTATATCCCGAAAAATTCTTGCCCCACGTAATGGTGGCTACATGCGCACAAATTAAGTTTTCCTCGCTAGTGAACAAAGATCCTCGGCAGTGGTCTTTTCGAAATAGCGACTTTGACAAAAGCTCTTTTTTTAGCAGGTTTAAAAAAGTAGACCTGCTAGTTTTTTCACTAATTAGCTTTAGGCTATGCTTCAACGAAATTCTATCTCTAGAGAGGTTGGAAGTTCGCATGCGTAGAGAATGTTCATCTCTAATTCGGTGAAAATTCTTGCAGTAGCTATGGAACGCTTCAGAGTCCTTAAAGGTGGGGATCTTCTAGTTTTTGGCGGCTCTTTCCTTTTTGCTCGGAATTATGTCTGGGCAAAAATATGGCTCTTAAAATGTGGAGAACTCGCGCGCTTAAATCTTGTCTCCTCTTCGTGCCAGAACCGCGACCCCTCCTCGCCGACTGCTTAAGTGTTTTTAGCTGGAACTCCCAGCCATCACATCCTGCTCATCACTTAAGCTACCTTACCTCTGTATAGAATTATACTCTTTAGAACAGCCTGGAGAAATTCTGCGTTCAATCGCACTATACTTACTACTCTGCCCATAAATGCTTTCCCCTCACCCTCCCTCAGATTTGTGTCGCGTGGCTTGCCTCTGTCACGCATGCCACTGGAAATAATTTCGTGGCTGTTTCCGACAGGAAGGTAACGGCAATAGCGAAACTGCACTTTTTACGTATCTCTCGAATGACTGCCCCAGCAATACCTCTTAAAGTCTTTGGCTGCGAGCCATTATGCTTCTTTAGATCCAGCCAAGCAAACATAAAATAAATGGGTTGACGTCAGAGAGTCCTAAGATAGCCTGACCTCAGTTAGGTTGCCTCAGATCCGCAAACCATTTTCCAATTTTTTTATTTGAGAAAGGCGATGAGAAAGGTGTAAGGTCGACCAGCTCTTCTTACACGGGCAGCGTACACGGTGCTGGTGTGGTGATGAACTTTGAGATCCCCTTTGCATGAAAACACCCTACTCAAAGTACTCTCCAAAAGTGACGATTTGGACAGAATGTCACGAATCCTGTTGTTCGGCAAAGGAAGTGGGCACGATGACTTGAGAGTGGG